ATGCACCCTGCCACAACCCAACAGTTTGTCCTGAAGAGCCTTTTACCGATATGAAAGGACAGGGTCAAAAGTAAGTTGACCCCTGACAGAATGTACAATTATGAGCAGAGGGCTGCGCACGAGCAGCTGCTGGAACCCCACTGGTTCCGCATGGGGCTTCCAGGAGTCAGAATATGAATAATCAACTCAAGATTGTTTCCTCCCCCCCTGTCCACCCCCGCCACCACCCCCCCGCCCCCACCTCGTCCCCTGTTTTGAGCAAGTCCTATTCTATTTCTACAGGAAGAAGCCTGGCCCTCCCCAGCAGCTGCAATAATTGTGTTCCTATTGTGAGGAAGACCTCCTCCTGGCCACCCCCTTACAAGTGGCCATTGTCGGTGGAGAGTCGGTGATTACACGCTCCGCCTGATGCTCTGGGGGACCCAGCTGCCTAAGTGCTGACACACGAATGTGCAGTGTGCGGAAGGCCAGGCAGGGGCTGGTGGAGGTGGAGGCAAGAGGTGGGGGGGAGGCCACGTCTGTGCAATGGGACTCGGACATACCAGACCTTTTGCATAAGTCAAGCCCAGAACAAATGAGGCTTTATCAGGCCCCACGGAAGAGGGGGTCTCATCTCCCTTTGAAGTGGAGCTGAGATGGAGACAAGCAGCTTTTCCTCCTTGGGATCAAGCAAACATCCTTCTTTTGATATGCGACATGCTCATTATCTCTGTCCCATTTAACGATTTTTGATTGAAGGGTGGCGGCTGGGATGCCGAGAAGATCCTGAGAGGGGCTCCGTCCAGCCAAGCCCGCAAGAAAGGCTTTCCTTGTGCCTGGGCCTATATTTGGAATTTCTTAACAGTGTGTGCTTGTTCTTAGAGGCAGATAAGGGCTGAGCGTGAAATTCTTAATTAAGCAATAAATAGAGAGTGGGGTGTCAGCAGATGCAGCCAGTAGCCATGGCAACAGGAATCACATGGGCAAGAGAGCTGAGACTAGATGTAGGCCTCGGGCCTGGGCCTGACTGACAGCTGAAGAATCCTACAAAGCTTGTAAACCAGATTAATTAGCTGACTAATTATTTCATAGCGTTAATGTAACTAAAAAATAAAAATAGTTCACCATGAACTGAAACCGCCCTGGAAAACAACAGTGGGGAAAGAGGCAGGGGGAAGCTGGCTGTGTCAGGCAGAGCCAGAAGCTGCCAGGGAATCAAATGGTATAAATGGGGAGATGGGCTTGCTGGCTGAGTCAGGCTTTGAAAATGAGAAAGAACACTTGTTCTACAGGCATACCCATCCCAAGCATGGCATAGAGGTTACGTCTTGGAACCACCATTCATAATAGTTAATCACATCAAATACTGCCCCTCCGGGTCCTAACACAACCGCAGCACACAGTACTTCACTTGTGGTCTGTTTTGTAAGTGGCTCCATGGGCAGCATTCTCAGGGACTTTAGAAAGTCCACCTGAATCAATCTCCTTACAAGATCTCTTTAAATGAGCAGAGGCTATCTTATTCTGTGGGTAGCAATTGCTTAAGTGGTATTAAATTTCAATCATGGGAACAATATGTCATATGATCATGAATCTCAGCTCTTTAACAAAATCTAGTCAAGGAAAATAAAATGAGACCCTTTTCAGAAAGGTGATGATGAGTTCAAGGCTTGTGACGTTGTTAATGTTCCGAGGAAATAAAAAATTCTAAAGAAATAATCTCTTGAGAAAATTTTGAGTAAGGTAACATGGCACACTAATCACACCTGAGGATGTTTTGGGTGTTTTGTAGCACAATTCCAAGAGATAAGTCAGTATTCTTAACCTCGCTGTATAGATGAAGTTATTGAGGCATGGAGCATTTATAATTCCATGCCTCAGGTAAAATAGCCAGCCAGCCACTGATTAAAACCTTCAGCCCTAAGCTCTGGCCATGAGCTTTCCAAAGAACCTGCATTCCATAAAGATGTTTGCGGAACAAAGACAAGACTCGCCTCAGTAGAGAGAGAAATGCAAGGGTCAAAGATATTATATGTACAGAATTCTTTGTCTTTGTCACTGGGGATCAGCGAGAAGTCTTCTCCCATGACCCTGCCCAGCACCCCCATCACCACCCTTTCTGGTCAGTGATCAATGATTCTTTGGCAGGCAGCACACTCTAGTGGAGGGATCCATAGCCAGGAGCTAGAATGCCTGGGTTCTGATTTCTCCCATTCTCAGCCATCTCTAAGGTTAGTTGGGTATCTTAAATCAAACACATGAAGTAGCCAAATGCAGGAAATGAAAATAATTGTGATTTTAAAAAATTCCTCTCCTGGGGGATGTGGTTAGGTCTCAAACAATACAAAAGACGATCCTCTTAGAAGTGGTCAACAAATGAATGGTCAGTGAAGCAGCACTCTGAGTGAAAGCCAGCCAGGAAAAGGAGCAGGACCCTTCCATCCCTGTCCCCCCTGAAAGTCTGACAGGAAACTCAGGGGACCTGAAGGAGGCCAAGCAGTTTCCCTACAATGAAATGAAACTTGTACACACAACTCTCCCGATGATTTTTCATCCAGGAATATGTCCACACAGAATGTGAGGTCTGTACTTGGGCTTTCTTCTTAGATTATATGTATTTTGTGTAAAATAGGCCAATCACAGACTTATAATACCACATGATAAAAAATAAAAAAAAATTAAGTAAACTAACCAATATGTGAAATGCACGGCACAGAACTGAAACAGGTACCAGCTGCAACTCCCTCACTGCCATTTAGGCATCATGGCATCCTGAGCCCTCCTAAAGATGCTGTAAACTATGCACAAAGGAGATCAAACCAAATCCATGCAGCCCAAGACAGCTGCATGGGTACCAGTGAGGAGGAGCAGGAGGAGCCTCCGTTCCCCCTGGGTCCTGGTGTCCTCACTGTGCCAGCCCAGAAATGGGAACAGACGTGGCTCTGGCCTCCTCTCTACCCCTTATGCTCAGAAGGTACAGGAGGCAAATGACCCTGAGAGCCACTGCTTGGAACCCTGGGAATCCTTTCCAAGGAACAAGGGTCTCCCAGTTCACTAAACATTCAACCAACCCTCTGCGGCTTCCTGTTCCTTTTCCAACTCATATTAATCAAAGGGTGGAAATACCCGGGTATTCTGACAAAGAATTTTGTAAAAATTAATGAAAACTATATACCTAACTAAAATGTTTTACATTAAAATATTCATCGCATCATATATATATATACAATATACATATGCAGAGGTACATCTATGCATAAATATATATATACTTATACATACTTATGGTATGTGTATTTATACCATATATGTATATACTAGTATATATAGAATAATAGTTTCACTTACTATTAATTCAATAAGTAATACTATCAAAAGGGAAGAAAATCTGTAACTGTGTGATTTGATTTTATTTTGTCTTTAAGCCCCAAATGTTCCTTTATCATTTTGGCTTATGTGAGAATTCAAATTTGTCCGCAGCTCATGAACAGAATCTGACCAATGGACATGTTTCCGAAGAGCACACTAAGTAATAGAACAAGAACCATTTGAAATTAAATTTTGCTCTATAATATATATCAAGTGAATAGTCATAGTTAAAATTAATGGCAGCGATTTGCTCTTGCTACTGGTATTCCCCTCCAGAGTGGTAAACCAGTCACAGGCTCTCTGTCCCTCCTGAGTTTTTATAGCTTTAGGTTACATTTATGAATGTATCAAATCAAAAAGGAAATCTGAACATTACAATTCAGTGCAAGTAAAATATACAACAATCCATTTGGCAAAGATAAAAATACCAGAGAAGTACCATACTCTCCTCTATGGTGCTATTAACATGTCATCATCCCCGGGCTCAAGTGTAGCTCAGACTCAGTGGACATACAGCTAGGCACAAGGGAGAGAGGCCGGGAACTCGGGACAATTGCCCAGCTCTCTACATCCTTAGGGACAAGACTGGCTTGTAGCAGGGGCTGGGACTTGAGGTGCTGTGAGTTCTCCTGAATCTGACCAGGATCTGTTAAGACTAATTGATAACAAAATTGACATTCTAGAGACCCATTTGGACAGATTCTCCTTACAGACCACACTGAGCTGAGGTTGGTATAAATGGACATCACAGTGCTCAGAGTGACCAATGCTGACATGGGATAGAACAAGAATATGAAACAAACACCAGGAAGTCAAAAGAAAATTCCTGTGAAACACGCACAATAAGATGATAAAGAAATCCTTCAGCCATCTATTACTCTGCAATCACAGAAGGGTTTTTGGTCCTACAAGATGAGGTTCCTGCATCCTACATCTTTTTGTTTTAATCCTCACGTGAGGATATGTATATTGTTTTGAGAGAGAGAGAGAGAGAGAGAGAGAGAGAGAGAGCAGTAGGTTGCCTCCTGTATGCTATATCCTGACGCAAGACAGAGACAGCCCACCCTAGTCCTCAGATTTTCAGATCAGCCCTCCACGCCTCTGCACCTTCCTGGCCTTGGATCCACTTCCAAGGCTTTCCTCCTCACCTTCCACAGTAACTTCACTCTTCATTCCTCCTCTTTGTAGCTGTCACCTGTCCTCTATGTTGCTCCTAATATCTGTGGCCATAACCAAGCCATCCTGTCTTTCCCATGCACTCGATCTTTCTACAAATATAACAGTGCCTTAAAGTGAATTGAAAATATTAATAACAATGTTTAATAAGCACTTGGTATGGGTTAGGCACTCTGATAAAAAGTTTTACATATTATCCTTTATATAATTTCCTATCTTTTGAGGTATGTCCTATTATTTCATTTTATAAGTGAGGAGGCTGAGCCTCAAAGAAAAAGAGCAGCTGCTCAGTGTCCCATATCTAGTAAGGCTTAGAGCTAGGATTTAAACCCAGGCAGTCTGATTTCAAAGCCCATCCACTTAACCATAACACACAGCTGTTTCCCATCGTTTCATGGCACAACTGTCTAAAATTCAAGAGTGAGCGGTGGTTTCTTACTACGTGCCCTTAAAAATGCCCATGCAATTATACTTACCCAGATAGGTGAGTTGCCTCAACTGACTATTGAAGAACCAGTCACAGCCTTGGTCTTTACCAGGCAATGGAAGAGAGGGCAAGGACCGCCCCACTTGACTCCCGCACCTTATGAGGATGTCAGGGGAAGGCCACAGGACTGTGTGAACCAGCCGGAGGTAATTCCCAGGAGCAAAGTTGTCAAATGTTGCTGAGTACTTGGAGAGAAAAATACAATAGAGCTTATTTAGGAAGGAAGACTCCCCTATAAAAAAGAGCTACAAACAGCCCTGACCAGTTTGGCTCAGTGGATAGAGCGTCGGCCTGCAGACTGAAAGGACCTGGGTTCGATTCTGGTCAAGGGCATGTACCTTGGTTGCAGGCACATGCCCAGTAGAGGGTGTGCAGGAGGCAGCTGATCAATGTTTCTCTCTCATCGATGTTTCTGATTCTCTGTACCTCTCCATTTCTCTCTGTAAAAAATCAATAAAATATATGTTTTTACAAAAGCTACAAACAACACTGAGTTGTTTAGAAATAAGGTAGTTTACACCCAGATGACTTTTCTTTTGAATCCACTTCGTAACAAACTCAGAACTAGAGTTTACAAAATCATACCAGGTGAGGACGGAAAGACAAGTTTCCTTTTGTTTAACTTCCTTAATTAACAAGAGAAAACCAAGGCCCAGACAACTGGATTGATTTGTCCCAGGTCAAATAGCTAGACGAGACAGAGCTAGGTCTGGAATCCCTTTAAAGAGGCAGGCAGTGTTGGCAGGACATTCCACTTATAACAGCAATAGCGAACACTGTTGTAGCATGTGCTACATCAGTGGTCCTCAACCTGGGCTGCACATTAGAATCACCTGGGAATCTTTTTAAAATCCTGATTTCTGGGCCTCATCCTCTGGAAATTCTGTTTCTCTGTTACTAATGTTGTGGCCCCACCCCATGACAAAGAAATTGAAGTTCCAGAGGATGAGGCCCAGAAATCAGGATTTTAAAAAGATTCCCAGGTGATTCTAATGTGCAGCCAAGGTTAAGAACCACTGGGCTACATGCTTAAGTACGACTCACATAAAGTCATTCAATCCTTGAAATATCCCCTGTGATTGTTACTGTTCATGCCCCATTTTACAGATGAGGAGAGTGAGGCAGGTAGAGGTTCAGGAAACTTGTCCCATATCACACAGTTGGAGAGTGTGCGCCAGGAGAGAAACCAGTCACCAACCGGCTGCCTTTACCTTATGCAAATTCCATGAAATGTTCTCATGGGAACCTTTAGGGAAGGAAAGAGCTCTCTGCTCTCAGAGAGGTGGTGAGAGGATAAAGACAGATTCTGTTTTGAATTCCTCAGAACTATGGCACACCTAAACCAGCTTCTAGTTCCCTAATACTGCTCTCAGGGCTTCTAGGGAATATAAATATTAGGAGACAGAAAGAAAGAAACGTGTTCAAAGGAAGAAAAGAAGCTTTAGGGAATCCACCAGTTTGCTTGGTGTTGTGTGTTTTTTTTCCAGAAAATGCACCCACTTCCTACATGACTATTCCTGTGTTTATTCCCCCTAACCATTTGACTCCTAGACCTTCATGTACAAGTTAATCTTTGACCACAAGGTGGCAGTATGCAACATAAAAATGCTTTGTTAAGGCATTTTTCTTGGGTTACAAACACTCCTCTCTGGGTTAAGTTGGTTCTTAACCCATAATATAAGAATACAATTCAATAGATTGCTTAGAAACTGTTTTTTATTGTATTAATAAACCTAAGAATTCAGGCAGAACCAATCTGCACTCAAGGTGAAATATATATAAACTTGAAATACATAAACTTGAAAATTTTATTAAACAGATTATAAAATTTTCAAATACACACACACACACACACACATTGTATTCAAGTTACAGTCATACATTCATCTGGTCAAAATGCTGCTGCAGTTTTCTTTATCAATACCAAAAGATGCTAATACCTTCGAACTATTATTCTACAGAAGGAGACATCATAAGCACTTGGAAGTGGAACACACCATTGAATAAATTCCCTGCAGAGATCTGTTGGTCCAAGGAGTCTCAAATCGCAGTGAGTAGGTCTCTTGATCCAAGAGCAGAGCCATCCAGCCATCAGGGTTAGACAATGTGTCACGCACATAGTTGACAGTGGTTGTCTTATTTCTGCTGTCAGTCAAGGTTAAGTCATAAGAAACATCCGGAGCATTAGTTCTAGCGTGAATTTAAAAAGAAAAAAAAATGGGTTTTAAGTTATTTGTTCATCCTGGATCTAATGTACTCTTCTTCCATCAGTTATGACTCATCTTCTATTCTCTCCATGTATGCTGTAGGCCCCTTCTACTCTGTGTGTCTGTGGAGGTTCCAGCAGTCACTGCATGGGTCAAAACAGCCCAGTGCGAAGCTGTCCTTGCATTGTCTGTGCATGTCACTGGTCTGGTGGATTGGAGTAGTAACGTTCATAATGGATGCCACTAAAATGCCATCTCAATGAATTCACATATACCAGGACTATAGTCTATTATTTTTAAAAAGAAAAGTCCATGACCAGAATTTTGCTGTAGACCAGGTTTCTCCACAGCAGAAAATATGTTATATAGTCAGTAGATATCCTTATTGGGAGCAATGACTGAGAGCCAGAACCTGATGTGCTCTCAGAAGCCCACCTCCCACTGCCCAGCAGGAATGGCGTCAGTAGCCTTCCCCAGAGGGAGGACGTAGCCTGGCTACTTGCTTGTGGGTTTGCACAATGCCCAGTGCTCACACCTACTATAGCACCTCTGTGTCGTTGGGCTTGCTTTTGTGCTTGTTAGCATAGGTTGTGAGATCCTTATGTTAGAGATATTTTATATTTTCTTTTTGCTATCCTGGCACAGGACCCTCACACAATGGGCACTCAAATCATGTCTACTAAATAAAGAAAGAATGCATGGAAGAGCTCGCCCAAAAGCTGGTGCCAATTTCCTAAAGGGTTTCTAGAAGGACTGCATTTTACCAAATGAAGAAACTGAGCCAGAGTGTGGCAAAAGTGTTAGGTAAATGTCACAGGTAGAATTATAAAGTTTTCATTTCCGTAAATGATTTTACACAGCCAATTCCAGAAAGTGGTTTTTAAGATTTCACTAGAACATGAATAGGGTTAGCCACATGCTAAGACCATAAAAGAAAGTCAAAGTGGACAGGAAAAAAATAAAGCAAAATAAAAATCAATACACATTATGACTGTCCTTCCCTCTTTGTTTTAGTTTTCATAAGAACCTTTAACTGTGGCATTTTGCTGCAGGCAGATAATTAAATTCTCAAAGAGGAGGGAAATGAGATGAAGGATGTTGGGTTTTCAAAGTGAGGTGTAGCATGAGCATATCCACAGCCAATTTACAATCCAGTGGCATATTATAAAAGGAAACTATTTTAGTGCTAAGTGCTTGGGGACTATGGTCAAATGGGTATACACTGGAAATCTATATCTTATATGCGCTAGGTATATGAACTTGGGCAAATTACTGACCCTCTTCAAGCTTTCTTTTTTTTATTTTTTCAATGGAGACAACAGTAGAATGTATCTCATCTAGCTCCTGGGAAACTTAAAGAGAAAACCTATGCAAAGTATTCAGTAACCATTAGCAAGCCAAACAAGATCTATCTACAGCTCATTTAAGAACCTCAGATGGGCCAGGTTTGCCATCCTGTGCTACTTATTTTAATGTCTAGAGGTTTACTTGGTCATTAAAAAACGCACTCAATACTTTTAGTGCTTCAGAGCCTTTTAGGATTAAATGTATTTGTTTAATCTGTAAGTTAATTAAAGGGATGAAAAATAATCAGGGCATGGGGAATAAAAGAACTATGCTTTTCTAAGATTTCCCTATGCAGCATTAACGAAATCTTTAGGAAGTTTGGGGTGGGGGAGACTTCTTTCTCTCTTTGGGTTTAGGATCCTTAGCATTTGTTTTTTTCACATGTATATCAGAATTTAAATTGGAACTAAAGAACAAGAATGTTGAAGATTCAACTTATGTTCTTAGAATCAGAATGGACATAAAGGTCATCTGCTCTGATTTCAAATCCATTGTAGGAATTTCCTCTATATTTTATTCTGTCCCTTCTTCCAGTCATGGGATATTCACATTCTAAAATTCCTCCTCCATTTATAACATTTATAATTATTAATTAAAGGCCCAATGCATGAAATTCGTGCAAAGGTAGGCCTTCCTTCCCCAGGCTGCCAGCACCAGCTTCCCTCTGGCACCTGAGACCTGAGCTTCCCTCACAGCCCTGGCTTCATCCAGAAGGTCATCCAGAAGGATGTCCGGAAGGACGTCCAGTCTAATTAGCACATTACGCTTTTATTATTATAGATTTATTATAGATTTTTAATCTTTACATAAGCTTTAGAAAGCTTACTTTTCTCCCCTGTATCTGTACCCATTTGTTCTCAGTCATCATGGCTCAGCTTAACAGTTCAACTGGCCCCTTAGTGATGTTTCTCCCCAACGGGAAGTCTACCCAGAAAACTGCATGAGTGTCAGAGGATTTCATGTAAACTTATTAATCAAAGAAGATAAGCATTTTGATCTTAAGTGAACAGAGCTTAATATGGTCAACCTCCATATCAACAGAATATTCGCCAAGAGAACTTAAACACTTACGTTTGGTGGTCAGAAAGCCTCTTCTGGGCACCTACAGGCAATCTGCACTATTAGTGAGCCCTGGTTTAGGAAAATGCTAAGGTTTTCTTATGGACTTAAATTTCTTATTTTTCCAGTCAACTGCTCTCAATTAAACTACTTTTACAAATAGTTATTTTAAACTATAAACCAAAAGAAGAATTCTGTTATCCACCCATCTGTTTACATTTAATTTTAACCTATATTTTGTCACTCTTTTCTTAAGATATCATGCATACCACCTTGAAAATATTACCTCTATATGTTATAATATAATCTATTGGGTAGATATTTCCAGAAATGCTTTTTAATTCCAACAAGGTGGCCCCAAAAATCCTCCTGGTCACTTCAACTAGACTTAGTTACTTCTCAATTTCCATCAGCAACAATTTTCAGGATGTAATTTCTCCTGGTTTAGTTTCTATAAATTGTAACTTCGATTATTGAAGATGCCATTTTCAGACCTTACTCTCCAGGTTCTGAAGGCCCTTATAAAACTTACCCCCCCTCTTCAAATAAGCAACTGAAGCCTAACTCTAATTCATTTCTATTTGTCTTTAGGACTTTTGTACCTTTCTTGTGATGCCATTTCCTTCCAAAGAGCATCTAATAATCTGATGCTAACCCCTTGATCAATCAGAGACCCACCATAGCACATTGTGGTTCTAAAGTATCCTTTCCTCTTGCTTCTTCATGCATTGTCCTAATCCTATCAAGCCACACCATCTCTCTAGCAAGGTTTATTCAGGATGCAATTTCACAGGCACTCACATGCAGCACCAGCTTTCTGTAATGCAATGCAGGTAGAGGAGGTAAAGGTTATCCAATATACCCTTATCACAGCTAGAAGTGGAAAAAGAGATTGGACCAAGATGGCGGCATAGGTTAACGCCAGAGTTTGCTGCTTTGAACAACTACTTCAAAAGTGAAACCAAAAAACGGAAGGGACATCACCCAGAACCACAGGAACGCTGGCTGAGTGGAAGTCCTACAACTAGGAGGAAAGAGAAACGCATACGGACACTCAGAGGATGCGCAGTGCTGAAGTCAAATTCTGAGGTGCGGAGTGCGCGGAGCAGGCTGGCGGCAGAGGGCGCGGTTGGCGTTTTCAATCGGGAGGGAGTCGCAGACTCTGAGCTCCAGATCCGGGCGAGTCTCTAGGGACCCAGACTCAAACGGGAGAAGCGGGACTGTCTGGCTTCGGTCAGAGCGAGTGCAGCTTTCTCTCTGAGCTTTGCAGCGGGGGCTGGGACTCAGAGAGGCAGAGCCCCTGGGGACAGGACTGAGAGCCGCTATAACTGCTCTCTCCGGCCCACCCTGTTGATCCTGTGCGACCCCCCCCGCCCCCCCCTCCCCCCCACCCAAGCCCTGCACAGAGGCATTTGCCGGATAGCCTCAGGCAAAGGCTAGATTAGCACCTCCCTAGAGGACAGAAGTTCTCTCACTGCTGACACAGCTGATTCTCATAGCCACTTGGCCTGGAGGTCAAACCCTCCCTGGAATTAGCTACAACAATCAAGATTTAACTATAAGACTGCGAACAAAGACCACTAGGGGGTGCACCAAGGAAGCATAACAAAATGCGGAGACAAAGAAACAGGACAAAATTGTCAATGGAAGATATAGAGTTCAGAACCACACTTTTAAGGTCTCTCAAGAACTGTTTAGAAGCCGCCGATAAACTTAATGAGATCTACAAGAAAACTAATGAGACCCTCGATCTTATATTGGGGAACCAACTAGAAATTAAGCATACACGGACTGAAATAACGAATATTATACAGACTCCCGACAGCAGACCAGAGGAGCGCAAGAATCAAGTTAATGATTTGAAATGCGAGGAAGCAAAAAACACCCAACCGGAAAAGCAAAATGAAAAAAGAATCCAAAAATGCGAGGATAGTGTAAGGAGCCTCTGGGACAACTTCAAGTGTACCAACATCAGAATTATAGGGGTGCCAGAAGATGAGAGAGAGCAAGATATTGAAAACCTATTTGAAGAAATAATGACAGAAAACTTCCCCCACCTGGTGAAAGAAATGGACTTACAGGTCCAAGAAGCGCGGAGAACCCCAAGCAAAAGGAATCCAAAGAGGACCACACCAAGACACATCATAATTAAAATGCCAAGAGCAAAAGATAAAGAGAGAATCTTAAAAACAGCAAGAGAAAGAAACTCAGTTACCTACAAGGGAATACCCATACGACTGTCAGCTGATTTCTCAACAGAAACTTTGCAGGCCAGAAGGGAGTGGCAAGAAATATTCAAAGTGATGAATACCAAGAACCTACAACCAAGATTACTTTATCCAGCAAAGCTATCATTCAGAATTGAAGGTCAGATAAAGAGCTTCACAGATAAGGAAAAGCTAAAGGAGTTCATCACCACCAAACCAGGATTATATGAAATGCTGAAAGGTATCCTTTAAGAAGAGGAAGAGGAAGAAAAAGGTAAAGATACAAATTATGAACAACAAATATGCATCTATCAACAAGTGAGTCTAAGAATCAAGTGAATAAATAATCTGATGAACAGAATGAACTGTT